TTTCTTTCTATTTAAAGCACTTCTCGGAAGGAAAGAAAATAAAACAGAAATAGTCTTACAAAGGCGATACAATTATCCAAACAACCGTTCCTCCTTTATTTCTTATCAGGAAAATCAATATAATCCCTTCTGCAAATCCTCTCAGTACACTACCTATAAGAAAGCTCGTTATAGCGAAGCCAAGATGTCATCAGGTGCAGTTTATAGTCCGAAACCCACTTTCCCTTCTCGTCATGATAAAATCAGTCTGTCGGTTCGAGGGCCATGCTACCCACACACTCCAGGCTGTTCAGGTCCTCGCATCACTCGCTGGGAGACTGGAAAGAGAGGAAAAGGTTAATTGTTAATGTGTATGGAAAGAACAGTATTTTTTTTTTTTGAGGATGTAGAACAGATAGCAAAATAACGAAGCATATAGGAAAAAAAAATGTTTTTTGATATATAAAGGAGATGAAATGTTGATGTTCAGAGATAAAAAGAGTATGTTAATATGTTATGGTAACATGTATTTGAAAATACAGTTGATATACACAAATAAAGAATACCAATATCAAAATGATATACATAGAAATATAACAACCTACCTACCTAAAAATAAAAAATCCACGTTGACATACACAGAAGAAACGAGAAGCAATACCACAACGGAAAACAACAATATACATAGAAGGAAAACACGTTAATATCTACAGAAAAAAATGAGAAAAACTACACGCATTTTCAAAAGAACTGAGAGAAATATGAATAAGCTTGGAGTCCTCTCGCCTTTAGGTTGGAGCCAAAATTGTATGCGGGTCGGTGTGGCTAACGCGTTGTCAACGGTAAAGAGAAGAGGGAGGAAAAGAGAGAAAGAGAGAGAGAGAGTGGGAGTGGGAGAAAAGAGGGAAAATGAAAGAGAAAGAAAGTGAGACTGGGGAGAGAAGAGAGAGAGAGAGAATGGGAGTGGGAGAAAGAGGAGGAAAATGAAAGAGAAAGAAAGTGAGACTGAAAGAGAGAAAGAGAGAGAGAGAGAGGGGAGTGGGGGAGGAAAAATAGAGAAAGAGGGAGAGATTGAGAGTGGGAGAGAGACAGAGGGAGGAAAAAGAGCGAAAGAGAGAGAGAATGAGAGTGTGAGAGAGTGAGAAAGAGAGGGAGGGAGAAAAAGAGAGAAATATATATTACTTATATAAATAGAGAGAGAAAAGAAAGAGAGAGAGGGGGTGGGGAGGAAAAAGAGAGAAAGAGACTGGGAGAGAGAGAGAGAGAGAGAGGGGAGAAAGAGAGACGAGAGAGAGAGAGAAGAGAGAGAGAGGAGACTGAGAGTGGGAGATAGACAGAGAGAGGTGAGGAAAAAGAGCGAAAAGAAAAGAGAATGGAGATGTGAGAGAGGAGTAGTGAGAGAGGAGAAAGAGAGAGAGGGAGAAAAAGAGAGAAATAGAGAGACGAGGGGGGGGGGCAGGAAGGAGAAAGAGCTCTCTCTTTCTCTTTTTGAGAGTGGGAGATAGAGAGAGAGGAGGAAAAAGTGCGAAAAAGAGAGAGAGATGAAGATGGGAGAGAGATTAAAAAAGAGAGAGCAGGAGAAAAAGAGAGAGGGGGGGGGGTTAAAAAAAAAGAGAGGAGACAGAAGGAGAGGGAAAAGAGAGAGAGAGAGAGAGAGAGAGAGAGAGGAGAGAGAGAGAGAGAAGAGAGAGAGAGAGAGAGAGAGAGAGCAGAGAGAGAGAAGGAAGAGTGAGAGAGAGAGAGAGAGAGAGAGAGAGAGAGAGCATGCAGACAGACAAACAGACACACAGAAAGAAACGGAGAGGGGGAAATGAAAGCGAAAGAGACTGTGAAAGAGAAACAGAGATATGGAGAAAAAAAATGAATACAATTAAATTCATTTTTCACGCAGAATGCTTTACCTGAAAAAAAAAAAAAAACGGAAAGAAAAAAAGATATGTATAAAAATGTTTTTATCTTATCCAACATTTTTACACTTCTTAAAGAAAAAAGGAATATGAAATCCCTATGCTTATATGCATGTAAAAGACTATATACGATGACAAAAGGCTGATACATATCTCTTCAAAATAATTACAGCCAGGGAAGTAATATAATTTTATTTTCGTTTTTCGCTCGGAGCCAAAATCGCACACGGGTGTTTGTGGTGAATCAAATGAAAAAAAGAAAAAAAACAAAAAAAAAGACAAAAAAAAAAGACAAAAAAAGACAAAAAAAGACAAAAAAAAAGAAAAAGTGGAAGGAAATGAAAAATAGTTAGGGAGGAAAAATGAACAGAGAGAAGGGGAAAAGGAGGGGAGGGGAGAGGGAGGCCCTGAGGGAGGGGGAACGGGGTCAGACAGACAGAAAGACAGGCGGACCGTGTTAAACAGAGAGATAGATAGACAGACAGACTGAGAGAGATAGAGCTAGACAAGCATATAGAGAGCTAGACAGACAGACAATCACACAGATAGATAGTTAGAGGGACAGACAATCAAACAGATAGACAACACTCAGTCAAACAGACAGACAGTCAGCCAGGCAGAGAGACAGACAGGCAGGTAGGCAAATAGACAGACAGACAGACGTACAGATAAACAGACAGACAGGGAGTAAGACAGACACAGAAAAGTCAGAAAAGTCAGTCAGAAAAACAGAAGGGAGACAGACAGACAGAAAGAAAGAAGACGAAAGAGAAAGAGGAAAACAAAGAGAGAGGAAACAAAGAGAGAGGAAAAGGCGAGGAGGAGAGAGAGGGAAGGGGAGGGAAACAGTGCCATACAATGAAGGTCATTATTCACAAAACTGCTTTACCTGACAATAAAAAGAGGGGAGAGACTGATAAAATTTTCTGCCCAATTCACTTTCATAAATATAGGATATAACAAATACGTTCAGGCGATATAAGTGTTTATTCATTGGTAAAAAAATATGTGTGTATGTTTATATATATATACATATATATATATATATAATATATATATAATATATATATATATATATATATATATATATATATGTATGTATATATATTACATATATATATATATATAATATATATATATATATATATTATATATATATATATATATATATATATATTTATACATCTATATATCCTTTCCTTTCCCTCTCACTCCTTTGCCTTTTTCTTTTCTTTTTTTCTCTTTTCCTTTTGCTCTCTTTCTTACTCTCCTTTTCCCTCTCTTTTCTGTCTTCCTATCTATTTTTAATTCTCCGTTCCTCCATTCGCTCTCTCCCTCTCTATCTCTTCCTCTCCCTCTCTTTGTCCCTCTCATTTTCCCTACCTCTCATTCTCTCTCCCACTCTCTCTCCGTCTCTCCCTCCCTCACCTTCTTCCTCACCCTCTCCCTTTCTCTCTTTCTCACTCCCTCTCCCTCTCCCCCCTTTCTCACTCCCTCTCCCTCACCCTCTCCGTCTCCATCTACCTCGCCCTCTCCCTCTCCTTCACCCTCACCATCTTCGTCTTCGTCTACCTCACCCTCTCCCTCTTCTTCCCCATCTCCGTCTCATCTCCGTCACTCCCTCTCCCTCTTCCCTTTCCCTCTCTCCCTCCCTCTCCCTCTCACTTTCCCCCCTCTCTCACTCCCCTTCCTCTCCCTTACCCTTTCTTCTCTCCCTCTCCCTCTCCTTTTTCCCTCTCCCCCCTCTCCCTCTTCCCTCCCTTCCCCCTTCCTCTCCTCTCCTCTCCCTCCCTCTTCCCCCCTCTCTCACTCCCCCTCCCTCTCCTTACCCTTTCTCTTCTCCTCTCCCTCTCCTTTTCCCTCTCCCCCCTCTCCCTCTCCCTCCACTTCCCCCTTTCCCTCTCCCTCTCCCTCTCCCTTACCCACTCCCCCCTCTCACTCCCCCCTCCCTCCTCCCTCTCTCCCTCTCCCTCTCCCCTTCCCTCTCCCTCTCCCCTCGGTGCGCCGTGGCTTCCCTGATCCCGGTAAACAAAACATGGCTGGATCTAAGTGTGTTGACACAGTATTCGTTATGGAAATGACGATTTCAGCTCTGAATTTTACACCGCGCCGGCGATGAATTTCGGAGAATAAATATTGCCGATGAAGGACCGGTTTCCATTTTTTTTTTTTTTTTTTTTTTTTTTTTTTTTTTTTTTTTTTTTGCGTCCGGCTTTTCAACGCTTTCCAGTGCTTGACCAATTCTGACGGGCGGTCTTCATAGCGGCATTCGGCTGATTTTGCTTTGTTTTCTTTAATTCCCTTTTTCTTTATTTCTGGTTTGTTTTTCTTGTCTCTTTTTTCTGTTTCTTTCTTTCTCTCTCTATTTCTATCCCTCTCCTCCCTCCCTCCTCTCTCTCTCTCTCTCTCTCTCTCTCTCTCTCTCTCTCTCTCTCTCTCTCTCTCTCTCTCTCCTCTCTCTCTCTCTCTCTCTCTCTCTCCTCTCTTTCCTTTCTCTCCCCTCCCTCTCCCTCCTCCCCCTCCCCCTCCCTCTCCCTCTCCCTCTCCCTCTCCCTCACCTCACCCTCGCCCTCTTCCTCTCCCCTCTCCCTCTCCTTCTCCTTCTCCTCCCTTTCCCTCCCCTCCCCTCTCCTCTCCTTCTCCCTCTCCCTCCCCTCTTCTCTCCCTCCTCCCTCTCCCCTCTCCCCCTCTCTCTCTCTCCTCTCCCTCCCTCTGTCTCCCTCTCCCTCCCTCTATTTCTCTCCCACTTACTCCTGCTATTTTCTACTAATAACGTGAATCATATTTCAATTCTCTCCGGCATGGACACACAACATACATCTTGAACTCCCACAGAATGTTCGCTAAAAAGAGTGTAGTTGAGTATCAGAATAAATTTTTCGACAGATGATATCCTAGACTGTCTTTCTATGTCATCATTTCCAGACTTTAAAAATGTATATATGTAGATTCGTAAAAGAAGCAAGCGTCGAGAGAGAGAGAGAGAAGGTAATGAAAACATAAATAACTTACTAGCTATTGAAATACATATATGAATAGATGATTTATGCATATCGTATCGAATATGTAATATGTAAACACACACACACACATGTATGTATTATGTGTGTACGTATGTATATATACATGTACGTATACATACACACACACACACACACACACACACACACACACACACACACACACACACACCACACATACACACACACACATATATTAATATATATTATATATATATATATATATTATATATATATATTATATATATATATATATATATACATATATGTATGATGTATATATGTACATATACATACATTACATTGTATATTAATATATAAATACATTATATCTCTATACACGTGTATGTGTGTGTGTCTGTATGTGTTTGAGTGTGATGTATATGTCTACGTATACATATATACATTATA